AGAATTAGAAAGCCCTTTGTTTACTATGGCATGTGATTCAACCATACTAATACTTGTATGGTACAATCCAAAAGAAAATGCGGGTAATTTTTCATGCACATATTTTTGCCCCAATTTTATTGTAGTAATATAAAGGTATTCAACCTTTCCTTCATTGGCAGTCTCAACATGATAGCCATTTTAGCGAATAACCTTGAAACTTAATAAGTTTCTTTGAGACTTACAACAGTACAATGCATTTTCAATAGTTAATATCGTTCCCCCAGGTAGTAGTAAGGCCGCTCTTCCAGAGCCCTCAATTAATTTTGCACTACCAGATATTGTATTAACATAAGCCTTTTTCACAATCAAAGTAGAGAAATATTTCTTTTCTCTTAAAATAGTGTGAGTTGTAGCACTATCAAGAAGACACATATCTCCATTACTCATCTTGAACCAATTGAAGATTGGGGAATTTTATTTATCAGAAGCTTAACTTGGAAAAATCGAAACGATATTAGAGTTTCGTGCTGATAACGTGTTATAAAACTTAAGGACAAAAGAACAATATAAAGAGGAAGAGAAGAAGACTATAAGACAAGAGGAACATTATAAACTAACATTTTTTCTTTCAAGTGTATTCAACATTATTCTCAACACCACTATTTATAGGATTACATTGAGGAATACCAAAAGGTGTCATAAACATTACATTAAACCTTGAGAATTACTACCCATTAAGGAGGAAATAAACCTAGGAGTTATGGTCATCCAATTAACCATATTATCAACAACATTACTACCAATAAAGGATGAAATTAACCTAGGAGTTATGGTCATCCATTTGACCACTTTATCAACAACATTACTACTCATAAAGGAGGGAAATTAACCAAGGAGTTATGGTCATCCATTTAACCACCAAAATGATTTACAACATAATACTCAAATAACCACTTGACCCATATATTTCAATTACATGACTAAAAATGACTAGCCCATGCTCTTACTGCAATCTATAGTGCACTCTCAGCCCAATCCATTTTGGAGTTGAGAAAATGATCATTTGGGCCTTGATAGACCAAAGATGTGGCCCAACACTATTTATTATTGGGAAAATTACGTAATTACACGACTTAAGATAACATAATCTCTAAAAATCTCTACCATCTGAATTAATTACAAAAACCCCTCTTTTCCTTCTCTCTCTTTCTTAACATCTGGATACATCATTCTACCTCTATCGAATACATTACAACTTTATTTTTGTACAATGTATCTGGTACAAATGTTCTTGTTGATACATAACCCCAATTATTTCAAACTTAAATCAATATGAATCTGGTTTAGTTATGTATTTGATATACAACTATGTATTTGATATATAAGTTATGTATCAAACGAATGAGCAATGTATCTGTGGGTTCTGAAAAACTCGGGATTATTGTAATTTGGAAAGCTTTCAGGATATGATGTAATTAGCGTCGAAATTGTTGAAATTTCTGTACTTTTTACTTTATTTTTTGGGCAAGTTATATATTTGGCAAGATGGTCAAACTAGTAATATTTGCTAGTAAAATATACACTAGATCATATAAAATGTATATGTTATGTAGATCATACAATAATATACATTCCTAACTATTATTTTTGATAGGCAATTAAACAACATTATTCCCTAATATTTTTAGTTGACCATTGACGAAAGCAAGGAAAATCATCGTTTCTAATTATAATTAATATCTGAATAACTAAAATTAATATTTAGAAATTAAATGAACTTAATAATTGAGATATGAGTGATTAATGCATTATTCTAATTGAGGGGACCTTTACTTAAGAACAAAGAGCCTAAAATTTCAACAATTTCAGCCCTTAGGAGGGACCTAGCTAGCAAAACCAGTGATAATCTTGGAGCAATTTGAAGGGTTGTCAATTGGTTTAGAAAATATCAATTTAACCAACCGAAATAATTATTAGATTTTTAAAAATAAAATCATAAATTTATAATTCTGTCGAATAATAATTTATATTTTTAGTTTTATAAAAATAAATCAAAAACATAACAAACCGTACCAAGACAATAAGTATGTGTAAAATATAATTTATACATTAAATTAAAAAATAATACAACAATAAGATCACATTGGGCCTAGGGTGATGAAAACAACTACATGCCGACATGTAATTAACAACCGAAGTCCCAAGTCCAAAACCTATTATGCAACTATTGAAACTAAATTAATTGCAGCATCTTTAGTACTAAGCTATAAAGTTAAAAGTATTCCAACAATCGATCGATCGTAAGTAATAAGTAATAAGGTATTAGGTGTCGTTCCTTTCGTATGATTTTAATTTTTTTTATTGGATATCTCACTTCTTGAGTCATGACATATTGATCAACTTCTTTTCATTGGTCTGATTTGAGTTTCTTTTGTCTAGAGAATTTTTTTGCCAAAATTCTACGAAAATATGCATATCTATAGTGTTCTAACTTTTACCAGTGACTCTTATTCATGATACTTAAAACAAATACAAAAATTAATCAAACTTTTGGTGATACTTAAGAGAAAACTACATGATAGAATGTTTTCAAAAGTTGCATTTCGACTATACAAAATAACATAATCAAAATAATTAATACGATATAAATTTTATAAAATAATTGATCGACCTATCATTGACATCAATAGGGCAAGTTGCCACCAGACTCCGGGCAACAAATTTTCCTACTTAGTCCTTTTAATTAAATACTAAATAGATTTTTAAAAAAAGTTTAGTATAGGGAAGCCACTTTCATATCCAAAATCCTTCATTTTCATAATGTTCATTGATAGTGATCGTAATTTAATAAATTTCAAAGAATTGAGTTTTTGTCGGTATTTTTATAAGAATGAATATTTAAATGATATGGAATAATTCGTGTACACTCAATATTATATAATTTAATATAAAATATTGTAAGAAAAGTCAGCAAAGTATATGGAATATTTCTTAATGCACTCCCAATAAACAAAGAAATTAAAAAAGGTTCTTTTTTTTTGTTAATTGACATATGAAAAATAATAATTAAGGATGTCTTACTTGAGCTCAACTAAGAACAAAATGTACTTCGTGCCAGCATAACTGTCATATCAAATCCACACATAGATTTGGTTTGTTTTATGTTTGATTTATAATTTTAATTTTTTAGTTTCAATTCAGAGTTCAACATTCATATTGCAATACGTTTAAGTTTTGCAGGTATGGAGATATATCACTCCTTAACAAATGTATTTTTTACTCAAAATTTAAATTCAAGTACCTTTAAATGAGAAAATTTACCGCTATAATTTTTGTTGATTAATTTTTTTATCATCCCTTTGAATAAAGAAGGAAAGTGAAGAAGAAAATTATCCTACTTTTTACCTTTTTGGTGGCAAAGAATTAATTATTATTAGTTTATAAATTAAATAAGCAGAAAAAGAAATTAGAATTATTGCATTTTTTGCTTTTTTGATTCTTATTTAGCACTTAAATCCTTTTTTAAGCAAGTAATTAACCATTGAAATTCATATTCTTGAAAGCCAAGAATATTGCTGTGGTGGAGCTTGTTAGGATTCAATTCAAATTAACATTTAATTGATGAATCATTCCACAAGGGGAAATTTAATTATGACAAGTTTACTTTTGTCTGTTGGGAAGATTATAGTGGATAAATCTTGTAATTTAGAAAATGAAAAAGTACATTAGATTATAAGAATTGTCATTTGTCTTTTTAATCATAAAAGACTGATAAAGAGATTAAGATATCAATACATTACTAAATCTATACTCACGTCATGTATGACACAAATGTTTTCAAAGTAAGCTAGATTATTATGTTTCGGCCCTAACTTATGTGATATTTTAGTTTGTTCTAATAAAATAAAAATAGTTTAACTTAATTATTTCCTTTTATTCTCAAGGAATATAGCCATTTAACGTAATACCTGCATACACTTTTTTTTCCATACCCCACTTTATAGGATTTCACAGAATTTATTATTGTATATCCATAACATGTATCTTACATTTTTAATGACTTGATATCAAAGTGCATATATACAAAACACGTATTTTATACTTATTGAATTGATATAAACATATGATACAAATAAATTTTACCTGATGCGACACCCCAATTTCTTTTCGTTCGTTGGAAAAGGTTTAGTATGCTCTTTAAGGAATAAATGCAAAACCGGAAAAAGACATGAAGTAATATTAATTGTAACCACAAAAAGCAAAAAAAAGTTACACGAGTATATTATGGTTAATTAATATAATTCCTCTTGAGGATTCAAAAAAAGAAAGCCAAAAATTATTGATAAGACTCACTCACAACATATGACCGTTACATACCTCAACGTACCAATACTCACAAATTTTTAAAAATTCATTTATGGGACCCAAATCCTTTCGTCTTTCTCTAGTTTACCGTTAGCCCTCAAACCCCTTCTTCTTTACCTTCACCTTCACCTTCACCTTATCAACAAAAATCACTCTGACATGGTCAATTTCTTCTTTGGTTATAAGAGCTTTTGTTGACTCACTCCACTCAACTTTCTTGATTTGTTTTTTTTTTCTTGAAAATTCTGAATTTTTTTTTTTTTTTTTTCTGTAATTTCATAATTTTCAAGAAGTGGGGTTGTTGAGGAATTTCAAGTTTTAATCTTGACTCACTCTACTCAGATTTCTTGGTTTGTTATTTTCTTGAAAATTCTGAAAAAAGGTCTCATCTTTCTGTAATTTCTAAAATTTCAAGATTTGGGGTTATTGAGGAATTTCAAGATTTGTGTCTTAGTTCACTCTACTCAACTTTTTTGATTTGTTCTCTTGCAAATTCTGAAAAAAGGTCTTAGCTTTCTGTAATTTCTAAAATTTCAAGAATTGGGGTTGTTGAGGAATTACAAGTTTTAATTTTGACTCACTCTTCTTGAAAAATCTGAAAAAGGCCTTGGTTTTCTGTAATTTCTGAAATTTCAAGATTTGGGGTTGTTGAGGAATTTCAAGATTATGGCAGCATTAGCACCTGGGATTTTGTTGAAGTTGCTAAATGGGATGAAATCAGGGGTGAAGCCTACAAGTGAACATAGGAGTTCACTTTTGCAGGTTACTGATATTGTTCCTGCAGATCTTGATGAGAAGAATTTATGGCCAAAGCATGGATTTTTCATCAAGGTATCGGATTCTTCACATTCCATTTATGTAAGTCTTCCAGATGAGCAAGATGATTTGGTTTTAAGCAATAAAATGCAGCTAGGACAGTTCATTTATGTTGATAGATTAGAGCCCGGTTCGCCTGTTCCTGTTGTTAAAGGTGCTAAGCCTCTTCCTGGGAGGCACCCACTTGTGGGAACTCCAGAACCATTAATGGGGTTGAGAGAAAAAGGCGAGAAAGTTGAACGAAAATTCAATCAGAGTCAGTCAGCTCCAAGAAGGGGTTCTTGGGGAATAGGCCAAAATGGGGTAGAAGTTGTTGCTTCATCTCCTCAAGTTTTGAAGCCAGTTCCTATTGATTTCGATCAATGTACACCGATAAAAGAGAGGTCTAGTGCTGTCAAATTTGCGCGAATTATTCCAATGTCACCTCTTATTCGGGGAAAATTCTCCAAAGATGGAGGAGCTAGTGGTGGGATGGTAAGGTCATCAGCCGGTGGCGCGTTGTTGTCTAAATTGATGGAGGCTAAAGGGGAAAGTCCTTCTATGGTGAGAAAAAGTTGTGCTACCCCTAGCATGATGAAGTTTCCAAGGAGTAGAAGTGTAACAGATCGCGATCGAGAACAAAGAATTGTCAATTCACCTTTAAACTCAGCTGTAGGTACATTTTCCCCTTCATGTATAGTCAATGTGTTTTAAGGCCTATATTAACATGTTGCAATTTGATTCTTCTTTTTTGTGTAGACACAGGAGAAGAAAAGTTCAACCCCACCACCTAGTTTACGGAGTGCACGAATGGCAGCTTCACCAACAGTAGGCAGAGATTCTCAAAGACTTCCCAATTCGAAAAAGTCGTCTCAAGAACAACAACAATCTCAGCCTATTGATTCTTTACCTCATGACAACACTAGTCTGACTGTTAATCTGCCTGGAAAACTTAGTATGTTGGGAAAGGTAATATCTTTGCCGTGTTTTTTGTTTTGTTTTGTTTTGTTTAATATATGGACAATTCTTGCCTTTTGTTAGAACATTAGTCTTAGCTAAACAAGTCATTTGTGATGTTCATTAGGAAGCTGTACAACAAAGGGAAAATGCACAGAAAATTGCTCTTCAAGCACTAAGGGATGCATCAGCTACAGAAAATCTCGTGCGGTCTCTAAAGTATGGAACTTTCAGTTATTTGTGTTAGCTGTTGTTGTTGTATTTTCTTTGCTTACCTGAATTTGATATCTATATATCACTGTGGCTTTGTTGAAGGGTGTTTTCGAACTTGAGTAGAGCTGCGAAACCTGATGCACCAACAGCCTGTTTTGATCAATTTCTTGAATTTCATGAACAACTTGTGCAAGCTGTTGCAGAAATGGTATCCATTCAAGCAGCAACAGCTTCAAACGAAACGTCACAAACTCCAAAAGCTGAACAAGAGAATGGTGGTGCCCCTATTCTACACGAAATAGTGCAGAATTCACTGGAAGAATCACGAGACAATGAATCAAATGCATCGAAGAGGAGAGCTGCACTTTACAAATCCATTGCAGTCTTTCCTGAAAGGAGCGATCAAAAATCAATTCTTGGAAAGCATTTGAGATCAACATCAAAGGCAATAAAAGGAGTATTAAATACTAGCATAAATGAGAACGACGAGAACAAGAAACCAGCTTCTTCTTCGATAAGCAGCAGCATTTCCAATACAATCAAATTGGGAAAGCAGATTGAGAGTGAATCAGGAAGTTGGTTTATGGATTTTCTTGAAAAGGCACTGGAGAAAGGGCTGAAAAAGGTCAAAGGAAAAGCAGCATCAGATTCTTCAAGCAAAGTCCCTCAATCACTCTTGCTTAAAGTGATCAATTGGGTAGAGGTGGAACAGTTTGATTCAAATAAACGCGCTATTCATCCTAAAGCTGGACAAATCGCCAGAAAGTTGAGGATCAAGGTCAAGAATCCCTGAGAAAAGCAGTATCTTCTGTTTAAGAAACTCAGATTTATTGTATTTGTATCAATCATTCTTTGATAAGTTTGTGGAGACTGTTGTTTTATTTGTATTTACTTTCTACCCCTTTCTGTTATTTGGTATAATTTCTATATTTGAATACTCCTACAAGCTTATTCACAAGTTATTGCTATAGAAGAAGGTTTTCTGTTACATGGAGACTAGTTGTATTCTTCTATTACTTTTCAATCCAAGGTATATTGGAAACGGCCTCTCTACCCCAGACCCCCCTGAGTGGGACACAATCTTAGCTAATTGGAATCACCAGCATAGATATCCTTTATTTTCTAATGTTTGTGCCCCATGAATTTCCAAGAGATCGTTCGTCATCTATTGACAAATTTGTTTTACGCGATCTTGAAACTAGTGCATCTTCTTCTTAAATGATCAATTATCATAGTATCACACACTTGTTCAATGCATTTGCAGGTCTACATAAAATATAATGAACGAAGCAGTTTCACATAATTTTAGACAAAGTATAAAAAGCTTCATTTAGAAAACTATAACTCACTAACTTGGAATCATCACAAACATAAATCTTTTGTTTCTATTTTGTGCCGCATAAGCTCCATGATATTAAATTGTACATCTTTTTAAGTAACACAAAACCATATTCATAAAACATCCCATGATATTAGATTGTACACGAGAATGTATCATTCATCGAACCATATTCATAAAAAAAAATGTGCGTCTGCCGGGAGTAATCATCACAAACATAAATCTTTTGTTTCTATTTTGTGCCGCATAAACTCCATGATATTAAATTGTACATCTTTTTAAGTAACACAAAACCATATTCATAAAACATCCCATGATATTAGATTGTACACGAGCATGTATCATTCATCGAACCATATTCATAAAAATAATGTGCGTCTGCCGGGAGTCGAACCCGGGTCTATTGCTTGGAAGGCAATTATCCTAACCGTTGGACTACAAACGCTTGTTGTTCATCTTCTTCATAATGTTTTTTAAAGATAAAGTAATTTCACTCCTTAAAGACCCTGGTTTCAGTTAACAAAATCTGTGTAGCGGCTGGAGATGACTGTTTGATGTGTGTTTGAGGATGAGGCGAATTCGTTTCTCCGGCGGCGGCAGCAGCAACTGTGCTTTGCTTGGAACAACTTTTCCCTTCTCAAATTACACAAATTTTCCATTAAAAACCAAATCTTTTCTGAAGCTGCTTCCTTCAAGAACACTCCTTATCTTCACCACTCCTCATTATCGTTTAGTTACAGCAGCTCAACATTCTTCTACACCTCAAACTAACCTTTCTGTCGGTTCTGGTAAGTACCCTTTATGTTTATCTGCTCAGAGGTTCTTCTCTCTTTTGTTCTTGATTCTGTTTTGTTTGTTTGTGTATTGTAGGAGGTGATGGCCGAAATGGGTATGCATTGAAGGACTCAAAAGTGGTTTTGAAAGGGATGAGATATACTGATCTTGAGGTATGTGTATTTCAGTTGTTGGCTGTGTATCTTAGTTAGATTAGTATCAATTTGAGTAAAGTTGAAATCTTGATGCTGATTTAAGGTTTAGTATTGTTTTTTTGTGTTTTTGAGATTAAGCTCATTCACTTGGTAAGTGTTTTTCGGCTGGTCTGCTGTATATTTTGGTTAATTGGGTTGATATTTGAGGAAAGTTGCAATCTTGATAGTGAATTAGTGATTTAGTCTTGTTTGCTGCTTAAGGATTCAAACTTGGCTTGTGTTCTTGAGATTAAGGCTAATTATATGTTATCGTGAGATTTTGGTGCCCGACTACTATAGGCTAGCTACTTCTAGCTTTTGTATTGTCCCTTCAGCTTTGGTGTAGTTTTTGTTGTTAAATTTGACACGATTCTAGGTGAATTAGTGTGAACATTTAGAAGAAAGATAATTCTTCATTGGCATGAAATGTCAAGGTAATAAATTTGTAGTAGAAATTTTGGCAACCATTAAATGGTTTCACAAGTTAAAACTTGATATTTGTATACTAGTGATGTCATTGATGACATCAAGAGAAGAATTCATTTCCTATAAATAGGTAGTTCTTAGGGGTCGTTTGGTTGGGAACAAGTTATCTCAGGATTAATAATCCTGGGATTAGTTATCCCAACATGTATATGAGATAACTTATCCCATCACTATGATATAAATGGTGGGATAAGTTATCCCAAACATGACAACCAAACAAGACACCAATATTTTATCTCAGGATTATTTTTTTATTCCAGAACTATTTATTCTTATCCCCCACACCAAACGACCCCTTAGTTTATTTGTAATACACCTCTCATTTGCATTCTCATTTTCTAAGGCATTTGAATCTTTTTTCTCTTTTGTAATATTTCACTTGTATTCTTTTGGAGTGAAATAAATTTTGATCGATTGTGTCCGATTGCGGAAGCCTAATATAGAAAGTGATGAAATCAGAACTACTATATCTCATAGCTTGCCAATGCTCCTTCACACTACTTACAATTCCTACGACATGTGAAATATCTGGCCTTGTGCAAACCATTGCATACATCAAGCTACCAATAACATTCGCGTATGGTACTCTTGATATATATTCTCGTTCAACTTTATTTTTTTGGCAAAATAGCATCACTAAGCTTAAAACTAGGAGCAAGCGGAGTGCTATAAATTTCGTTTGTATTCTTCTTGAGATAAATAGAGTTTCTTTGAATGTCTATCTCTTTTTATCTCCATGCCAAGAATATTCTTTCCCTCACCCACAAATCCTTCGTCTCAAACTCATTTCTTAGTTGAGTCTTCAACTTTTCAATTTCCTCTTGACTTTTGAAAGCTATCAACCTATCATCAACATACATGAGAAGGTATATAAAAGATCCATCTTCAAGCTTGCGCAAATACACACAATGATCATATTTGCTTCTTTTGTATTTTGGCCTCAAACATAAACTTGTCAAATCGCTTGTATCATTATCTAGAAGATTGTTTCAATCCATACAACGATTTTTTTAGTTTGCACACCATATTTTCCTTTCCAACAACTTTTGAATCGTTCTGGCTGTGTCATGCAGATTTCCTCAAGTATCCATGTAAAAACTACGTTTCTGATGAATCTTTAATGGAAAATTATATTCAGCAGGGATGTTATCTTTGATTAATCTCCCTTGACAAATAAAGCAACAGTTGAAGATGTCAAACAAATGGATAGTGCTTCAAAGAGCAGGTGGAGTTTGAGGGAAAATTAATTTTCCCAACACAGTAGCAAACGAGAAAACAACATAAGATTTTCCTCTTGAAGAAGAGTCAATCGAGGGGTGATTCCATCTCAAGAACATCAACTACAACTTGAATCAATAGTAACCAACAAGCTAAAAAAACAATAAGAAAACTTGTTAGACTCATAGATATGGTGGCTTGTATGGACTCAATTGTAGTTGATGGTATTTCTACCACTTATAAAGACTTAGTCCAAAGTTCAAAAGAAGATAAGTGGAGGATTGCCATGAATGAAGAAATGCGGTCCCTTCATCACAATCACATATGAAAATTGGTTAATCTCTTGGAGGGAAAGAAAACAATTGGGTGCAAAAGAATATATGCAAAGAAATAAGAATATTCCTAACCAAGAAGATGTTCGCTACAAAGCAAGATTGATGGTCAAAGAATATGCTCAGGAGGAGGGAATTGATTATAAGGGACATTTTCTCCAGATGTGAAACACACCTCCATTAGAGATTTGTTGGCTTTGGTAGCACCATTGAATTTGGAACTAGTTCAAGTTGATATAAAAATGTAATTTTCACATGGAGACTTGGAAGAGGAAATCTACATGACTCAATCAAAAGGTCAAAGTTGTTTGGAAAAAAAATATGGTGTGCAAACTTAAAAAATCATTGTATGGATTGTCCAGACATTAAGCGAGTCGACAAGTTTATGTTGAGGCAAAAGTATAGAAGAAGGAAATACATCTTTGTGCGTATTTGCGCAAGCTTGAAGATGAATTCTTTATATATATTCTCTTGTACGTTGATAGCTTTCAAAAGTCTAGAGGAAATTGAGAAGTTGAAGACTCGACTAAGAAAGGAGTTTGAGATGAATGATTTAGGTAAGGTGAAAAAAATTCTTGGCATGAAGATAAAAAGAGATAGATATTTAAAGAAACTTTATTTATCTCAGAAAGAATACTTGAAGAGGGTACTAGACTGATTCAGTATGAATGAGAAAACGAAGTCGATTAGCACTCCGCTTGCTCCTTATCTTAAGCTTAGTAATGCTATGTTGCCAAAAAATGAAGCTGAACGAGAATATATGTCAAGAGTACCATATGTGAGTGAGGCTAGATATTTCACATGTCGTATGAGTTGTAAGCAGGTATATGAGTAGTCCTGTAAAGGAACATTGGCAAGCTGTGAGATGGATTCTATGGAATATTCGTAATAATACTATAGTAGTAGTGATTTCATCACTCTCAATATTCAATTTCCGCAATCGGACACAACCAATCAAAATATATTTCACTCCAAAAGAATACAAGTGAAATACTACAAAAGGAGATTCAATTGCCTTAGAAGATGAGAAGGCAAATGAGAGGTGTTTTACCAACATGAGTTGTGGTGCACTGGTGGGAGTGCTTCACCCTTAACCAGAGGTCTCGGGTTCGAGCCTTGGGTATGGAGAAAATCCTGGTGGGAGCGCCACCTCCGAATGGGCTCTGCAGTGCGTGATCTGGATTTAATCGGAGCTCCAATGTAGGCTCCGGACACCGTGTGGGAAACAAAAAAAATAACAATAAAATAAAAATGACAGGTGTGTTACAACTGAACCAAGATCTACCTATTTATAAGAAATGAATTATTCCTTTTGATGTTATCAATGGCATCACAAGTATGCAATTGTCAAGCTTCAACTTGTGAAACCATTTAATGGTTGCCAAAATTTCTACTACAAATTTAATATCTTGACATTTTATGTCAAGAAGAATTATCTTCCTTCCAAATATTCACACTATTTCACATAGAATCTTGTCAAATTTAACATTTGTTTATATTGGTATTGAATGAACTTATCAAACAAAGCTGAGTAG